TCTTCTCCACATCCACTCTTGCTGCCAGCTCTGATCGCTCAGCAGTGGGAATGGAGCTCCACAAGTTGGCAGTGATTTTTTCGTTTACGCCAAGCGGTGATGAAGTCATCTTTAGCCTCTCCCTTAGCCTTTGACTTTCGAGAACCACCAGCCCTTTGATGTAATCCCCATCTTTGATGACAATCTCTTTGCTCTCATCTGGACGAAAAGATGAACTCCCATGGGTTAATGTCGCCCTCACTTTTTGGAAATGGGAACTTTCCATCAATAGCGTGGTCTCTTCCATGAAATAGCCCTTCCCGTACTTAAGGATTCTGTCATTTCTATTGACGCTGAACCAATTGGATACCCTTTTATCGATCTCTAGACCTACATTTTCCCCAGTTGTTGGAGCAAAACATCCTTTCTCACCATCAGGCTTCCGATATTTGAACACTGCTCCTTCAGGCCTAATTTCTACCTCCACGTACCCTTGTTAATGTTTTTCTGCATCACTTTTTTCGTTGTCATCCCCGCGTCGCGCTGGTCTAATGCGAATGGCAAAAGGAGTGCGCCTCCGAATGTTAGCTGATACAATTCCTTCTCCACTCAAGGGAAGTACTTTACGGAATGTGGTCTGGCAGGGTTCCTTGTCATCCATATTCAATTCAGCTTCAAGTCCGATTTACTTTGATTGCAGTCGATGGCTTTAGCATGGGGTTCGCTAAAGGACTTCCTAGAAGTGTCTTGTCGACGAGAAACCTTTAAGTTCTGACACCTGATCACGTGTGACCGGTATCCGGTCATTTCGTTCTATGGTCAGATCGTTCCAATCAATAGTCAGATCTTTCCACAGAATAGTCAGTTTGTTCCACAAAAAATTCAGTTCGTTCCACAGTCATATGTTATATATATTTTCTAAATGTGTAAATGTTATCCGAGTACAGAGTAGCGATCGTAACATGGACGAAAGTACTTTCAGAACTATTTACATATTGGTGTCAACATTTCTAAACTATTTGAGTCTGATATGAGCAGCAGCCTTCAAGTTAGCTTTTACCTCTTTCCCTTTCTTTAAATTTGGTCGATGCCACTTTTGAAGCTTCTCTGTACAGGTCAAAGACAAAAACAGCTTTTTATGTGTTGTGAAGTGTTCTAACTGTAGAAGTATAACGATAACATGACAACAGAGACCACACGTTCCTACAGCACATTCGCAAAAACCTTTCTTGGTAACATTGTCAATGAACAAGACAGTTGCAGTTCGTGTAACTTCAGAAGAAAAGCTTTTCAATATGCTTGACTTGACAAATAACTGGCTACCATTTTTGAAAACCTTTATGGTTTTCATTGGTCTTCATTCGTCTTGAAGAAAACATTCGATGAGCTTTGCGAAATTGTCCTATCATTCCCTGTCGTTTATTAGACTGATATGTCTTGATAACGTCTTTTGAAATCTTGGGAAAGAGAGAAGTATTGCATTTCCAGCCAGCTGTTGGTGGTGGGATCTCCTGTCTCGATAGGGCTGTCGTAAAGCTGTACTTCACAGAGATGTTCTTCACTCTGTTGTCGAGCAAAGCCGGGTCATCTTTAAATGGTAGCAATCTTTGTAACAATTCACTTTTAGTCCCGGAAGCTTTAAGTTTAAGACTATTACAAAGTTCTCCCAAGTTTTTTGTGTTGAGTGATTCAAGGCAATCATCATTTATGACTTTTTTTACTGCTGCAAAAGCCATTTTGGGCGAGTCTTCTTTCACATTTCCCGCCATCTTTTTTCACTTCCGTCCGGCAAAACTGATAACTAGTGCCAGGCTCCCACGGTATGAAATCAGGCAATGTTTGGTACGTGACACGCATATTAATTTTCTGTGGTTATTGTTTATTCTGGTCGGCAAGATTTTCCCTCCAATGCAAGAGCATTTTATTTTTAAAACTTCTTTTGAAACACAAAGCTCTTCTTGCGACTTTATAAGGGTTTCAGGTCGTTTTATTTGTCTCCTGGANCATTCGTCTTGAAGAAAACATTCGATGAGCTTTGCGAAATTGTCCTATCATTCCCTGTCGCTTATTAGACTGATATGTCTTGATAACGTCTTTTGAAATCTTGGGAAAGAGAGAAGTATTGCATTTCCATCCAGCTGTTGGTGGTGGGATCTCCTGTCTCGATAGGGCTGTCGTAAAGCTGTACTTCACAGAGATGTTCTTCACTCTGTTGTCGAGCAAAGCCGGGTCATCTTTAAATGGTAGCAATCTTTGTAACAATTCACTTTTAGTCCCGGAAGCTTTAAGTTTAAGACTGTTACAAAGTTCTCCCAAGTTTTTTGTGTTGAGTGATTCAAGGCAGTCATCATTTATGACTTTTTTTACTGCTGCAAAAGCCATGGGCGAGTCTTCTTTCACATTTCCCGCCATCTTTTTTCACTTTCGTCCGGCAAAACTGATAACTAGTGCCAGGCTCCCACGGTATGAAATCAGGCAATTTCCTCGGGAAAAGTCCCTTAACGTCATCAACTTCCTGTTTTTTTGAGAATGTCTAGGCTCGATTTCCGTCTCCCGGGTCCGGTCTTTGATCCTCCCCGAAGAGAGACTCTTTCGGGGGGATGAGTGCGGGCTCATTTTCCCGAACAGCGGCTGGTAATCGAGCCTAGAGAATGTCACGCTATTCAGGAGCTCCTGCGCTATTTTAATTTCCATTTTGTGATTAAGACCCTTGGCAATGCACAAGGTGTTGAAACCATGTATGACTTGTGATTTTTGCGATGTTACCTCCCTAAAATGCATAAAAATTTTGGCGAAAAAAATAATATACAGCACAGTTATTTTTTGCCAAAATTTTGAATATTTCTGTTTTTATCCGTCGCAATGCGATATAAGACAAGGTTCCCACTAACTTTCAAAAGTTCGTAATTAAAAAATCGAACTCATTTCAATGCAAGTTAGAGGCGGGTTCTTTTTTACGGGTAGATGGGTTTATTCTTAACTAGGGGAGGGGCTTATAAATGTAGAGCGTATAAGCGGAAATTTACGGTATGTCTATATCGTATACGGCCGTTAAACCAAACACGGGTGTGTTTTTGCTATTTATTCATAAATTTATAATCCTACAATAGATAAAAATTAAAAAAACAAAAATTCAGAGAGAAAGGCCGGAATTCCGAGCGAAGTTACTGAGTTTAAAATTCGCACATTTTCTCAAGAGCCATAATGGCTCTTGATTTTCTATAATTGTAGCCGTAGCTCTCTTTCAAAGAAGAGCTGTCTCATAATCCCAAGAAAATAATACGAGGAACTGCACATAATAAACACGAATGGAGTCTTCCAAACGAATCTGTGTATAGCACATAGCTGAACAGTCTTTGATAAGATACTGTGACACTCGCCCAAAGGAGCTAAACACTTTTCTAAGACCTAACGATAAACACCTTGTCGCAGAATAAAGAATTTAATTGATTGTTGAAAAGCCGAGCTTATAACGCAACTTTTAAATTCGTGTCATAAAGTGTACCAGCATAATATAACGAGAGGAAATTTCACTGTGTCAAGCGGCTTTTGGGCCTGTCAAACCAAATCGGCCGGAAAGTCGAACTAGGAAAACAACGGAACTAAAGCTCTTCGCGAGAGCGCGAGAATTAGCAAATAGTGATCTGCTAATGCCGAAGTTATTGACGGGGGAAACTGCAATTCGGTAGAGCGTTAGGCTCGCTGCTAACACTCATTACTACTGCCAGAGGTACAGGGTCTAATTTCCACGTCCCAAGGTACGAAGGTTGGACAAAAACCGAGACTTTTCTGTAATGCTGCAACTTCTTTATTGTAGAGTAAACCTCGTAGATAGTGCTTCACATGTAATCGTAAGTAATCATCGCAGGTAATCGATTTACAACAGTTTAAGCACTACTTTTATACAGTCTACAGTAAACACAGGTGTTCGATGATCACAAAGGAACACATAAAGCTATTCAAAAATACACGTACTAGCTGATCAACGCGTTACAATTCGATTGGTTAGAAACCTTTTCCTTCAAGGTGAAAGTACAATACTTCCTATTTCGGTTCCTGGACTTTTAGAAAAACACATGTTGTAAATCAAGCTGAATGAATAGAGCACAACAGTTGTTTCTTTCAAATGTAAAATAGTTCTTGTCTAACAAAGAGACACGTACAGAAGTATACACGTGTTCTATTGAAATTACAAGTCAGACGTTCCAATATTTGTACATATGTCACTGCCTGCTATTTTGCATTTGAATAATACACATATTTCAGCTGCGGAGCTTTGATAGATACAAAAGAGATAAAACTAGATTTTCATGAGTAAAGCAAAATTGCTACAATAACGCTCTGATGAAACTGCAAAGTTCCGTTCTAATGACAACATTGAAATATCGGCTGTGACAATAAACAAAAGCTACTTCACTTTGTTCAGATTTTGGCTTTCACCACACAATGATCTCTGCGATATTCCTCGAGTAAGTCTTCTCGCAGTTTCGTGTAATCAAAATCGCTATCGGGTAGGAACTCCTTCACTGTCTTCCCATCCAGATAATCAAAGTAAGGCCACATGAGCTCCTCTTCACAGCCATACTTATAGCATTGTATGGTGGCACAATACATATTGCTGGACTCATTTGTCAGCTTGTGTGTTTGGAACCAGTTTGGAGAGATCCATGTTACATCTCCCTGCTTTGCTGTGAAATTTCTCAGCTCTTGTTGTTTATCTTCGGAATTCCACGTCTTGTTGTAGATGGTGACTTTTATTTCCCCGTGTATAATCTTGATCACGCCATACGCATTGCCATGATTGTGGATGCCGCTTTTAGAATTCGCAGGCCAAATCTCCAACACGTACGGAACGCCGGGCGATGAACCACGCTTTACTCCAAGAGTAACTCTCAGGTACTCAGACATTCCTTGATCTTGCTTCTTTTCGTTCAGCTTTTCGTAAAGAATCTTGCCTTCTGTGTTGATGCTGTAGTTGATGGCGTCCGATAGTCTAGGGATGCTGTAGGGCCAGTCCAAAGCCACGTCTAGAGAGGCAATATTCGCGTACAGTTCTTGGCAGGTCTCTGGAAGGCTGGCTGACGGTACGAAGCGATTATTCGCCAGTTCCGGAAGAGTCGCTTTGGAACTGTCAAGCACGAACGGGGACCAATTGTAGGTCAAGGGATGAGGGTAGAACGACACTTTCTTCTCCACATCCACTCTTGCTGCCAGCTCTGATCGCTCAGCAGTGGGAATGGAGCTCCACAAGTTGGCAGTGATTTTTTCGTTTACGCCAAGCGGTGATGAAGTCATCTTTAGCCTCTCCCTTAGCCTTGAACTTTCGAGAACCACCAGCCCTTTGATGTAATCCACATCTTTGATGACAATCTCTTTGCTCTGATCTGGACGAAAGATGAACTCCCATGGGTCAATGTCGCCGTCAGTTTTTGGAAATGGGAACTCCAATAGCGTGGTCTCTTCCATGAAATAGCCCTTCCCGTACTTAAGGATCCTGTCATTTCTATTGAAGCTGTACCAATAGGATACCCTTTTATCGATCTCTAGACCTCCACCTATCCCACTTGTGAAAGCTAAAGTTCCTTTCACAGGCTGGCCGCCACCAGGTATCCGATATTTGAACACTGCTGCTTCACGATTAATTTCTACCTCCACGTACCCAAGTTTATCTTTTTCTCCATCACTTATTTCGTTGTCATCCCCGCATGGCGCTGGTCTTATGCGAATGGCAAAAGGAGTGCGCCTTCGAATGTTAGCTGATACAATTCCTTCTCCACTCACGGGAAGCGCTTTACAGAATGTGGTCTGGCAGGGTTCCTTGTCATCCATATCCAATTCACCTTCAAGTTCGATTTACTTTGATTACAGTCGATGGCTTTAGCATCGGGTTCACTAAAGGATTTCCTACAAGTGTCTTGTTGCACGAGAAACCTTCAAGTTCTGACGCCTGATCACGTGCGTTCATTATATCGTTAAGACTTCCTTCACGTGTGACCGGTATCCGGTCATTTCGTTCCATGGTCAGATCGTTCCACAAAATAGTCAGATCGTTCCACAAAATAGTCAGTTCGTTCCACAAAAAATTCACTTCGTTCCCCAGTCATATGTTATATTTATTTTCTAAATGTGTAAATGTTATCCGAGTGCAGAGTAGCGATCGGAACATGGATGAAAGTATTTTCAGAACTATTTACATAATGGCGAGAGCGTCGTATGTTAAGTTCACTATTTCCTACAAGTGTCTTGTTGCACGAGAAACCTTCCAAGTTCTGACGCCTGATCACGTGCGTTCATTATATCATTGAGACTTCCTTCACGTGTGACCGGTATCCGGTCATTTCGTTCCATGGTCAGATAGTTCCAGATCAGATCGTTCCACAAAATAGTCAGATCGTTCCACAAAATAGTCAGTTCGTTCCACAAAAAATTCACTTCGTTCCACAGTCATATGTTATATCTATGTGAATGTTATCCGAGTACAGAGTGGCGATCGGAACATGGATAAAAGTATTTTCAGAACTATTTACATAATGGTGAGAGCGTCGTACGCATGTTAAATTCACACAATGGCGAGAGCTTATGTTTGTCGGATTAATCTGTTTGTCGATTTTTGACCACAACACAGAAAATAAAATAAAGTACTACGTAGCCTGCGCGTTTGTTAGCGCGACGTAAAGTGGTTTTAGATTAAACAGCGAGAGAAACCTGTCACGGTTTACAGTAACCTGAGATCAGGCCCAGTTTTAGCGGTTCTCATACATTCCCTCTAGCGGCTACCGCTAAAATTGGGCCTGATATAACCTGAGATCAGGTATGCCGCTAAATTTATTAATCGAAATTAACAAACAGCCAACGAGCGAGGACACCAGTTTTCTTGGTTTATTCAAAAAGCGAAGGCAAACAACAAGTTTGTTACCTTAACACTACCAGTAATCCAGTCAAATTGTGGTCTAGCATCAAACTAACTGCAACAGAATCTTTTTCAACGCCATTCAATTGTTGGATGGCTTTGTAACAACATACTAAAAATCCGCCAAAATCGGTTCGGTGAAACATGAGAAAAATTGGCAATAAAGATTTTCAACTTTCACCACAGGACACCCAATTTCAGGAAGATCACAAATTCAGATAAAACATTTGATAATTGTTTTTCTCCTCACGAATTTTCGATAAAACATCGCTAATGTATTTTGGGTAGTTTTGGTTTAAAAAAAAACGCCGACTAAATGTGTGAGAAACACCTGGGTCAGTGTTTTGTCTTGACTGCTTTGCACAGGTTACCCAGCCACTCATTTGTCTTCATATTCTGTTTTCCAAGCTGTAATTTTTTTTTCTATGACGGTATTTAAAAGGGAAATTATTAGTCAGTCTTTATTGACATGATTAAAAATATTAGAATTTCTTCTTTTTTTTGCGCAATATCAGAAATGCAGAAAGTATTTTTAGTTTTACAGGCTTGTAATTTTTTTCATATCCTGCAGCATGGAATCAAGTTTAGTAGCTGACTTGTGGTGAACAGTTTGATTTGATATTTTGTTCACCTTCAGTCAGCTACTAAATTTGCATCCATACTGCAGGATACGTGCAACTAAATGTATGCAACGGACGATAGCTTTGTATCAGTACAAACTGTTTAACCTATTCCCATTTTCTGTAATCGAGTTTTGTGAGGTAGTTATGTTCAAACCTTGGACACAATATGTGTGATCGAAATCAGGGATTTTTTTTTTCAGTACTTTAAAATGTGAGTGAATAAATATTCTGCTAAGGACTCTGTCTATTTGGTTTCTGCTAGATCATAAAGTTCTGCTCTTTTCATTACACCTGGCCGAATCTGTTCTAAAGGAAATCCAGAAAACCAACGCAGTGTGATTGTTATTTTTTTATCTTCTTCTTGTAGCGAGGCTCAGATTTAGTTTAGTGTATCTGTGTGTTTCATTTGTATTTTGTGCGGCAGCTCTTCATTTCTTGGTAAGATGAAAGAGATTAATTGCTCTGTGGTCTAAAGGCATTTATATTCCCTTCTTGCATTTCTTTCCTGAGAACAACCCTGAACCTCGACCAGTTTTTTTTCGTCCATTGGCAATGAAGACCTCTTTTTCTATAAAAATCATGGTATCCTAAACATCTGAAAATAATCGCAGTGGTCAATGAAGGCGCGAAAGTACTGGACATATGTACGACATTAATGGGCTTGCCTGACTTGCCTGACTGCGGAACCTATGTTTCTCTTCGGATGAGCGTTGTGTAAAACTTCAACTTACTGCATGTTAACCTTCTGACTGAGTTGCGTGAATTATTCTTTGCGTCGGGAATTTCCATTACTCCATAGACTCTTACAAGATATTTTTATACGCATTGTTTTGGCTACCCAGAGTTAATCTTTCCCTTAAAAACCAGCTTCCCTATTATCCTATTTCGTTTTCTTGAAACAAACGTTTGCTAGAACCAAAGTTCTTATGCGATGAATGTTCCGTTAACCTTTATAATTTTTTTTGCGAAGATAACAACACTTTTCCTTTAATGAAAAGGCATCTCAAATTCATAGGCATTGGAGCTTAACCTGTTCAAAAACTCTGCATTGTTGTGCGTCGTAAAGAATTAGTAAAACTATCCTCCCCTCTTCTCCAATTCACTTTCAACAAGAAGAAAATGAAAAGCTTCGAAAAAGTGAAACTTGTATATTTGATGATGTTGGTACGTTAACAAAAATTAATGTATAGGTAACCGTACAAGCCAAAGCATTATCTTGCTGGATTTTTGACAACGTACCGAACGAAAATTGCAGTCTTTTCACTGAGAAAAAGACCAAAAGTCGAAGGTTAAATGAGCCCAAAAATCCTCCTAGGAAAGAACAAGGAAAGGGAGAAGAAAGAAGAGGAGAAGAAAAAAGAACAATAGCTGCACTCTTAGTTTTATGTTGACTTCTTTGGAGATAGTTTTTGAAAGAAAAAAACTGTTTGAGGGGAGAGCTCTATTTTGGTTGTAACGTTATTCAAAAATCCAACTCTGATATATATTTTTCTTACCCTTCCGGCTAACAGAAATCTGATAAAAAAGGATAACTTTTAAAAGCTAATGATTAAGTAACGGCTTTCATTTTTCAGATTTAAAACCTTATGACTAAATTTGTTGCAGTTTTACAACTAACAGTTCACTCTATTACTTTAAAAGCCTCCTGTTGTTGTGGGTTCCTTGAGTGGAACATTGGCTTCCTGTGCAAAAGCCAACCGTGTTTAATATTTATCCCTTTTGAAAAAAGATGAAACACTTCGTTTTTATCAGCGAAAACTAGGTAGCACTTATTCTTTCGTCTTTCACTTTTCCGTAAAACTAACAAACACATTTTGTGCAGTTTTTGTTTAACCGTATAATTTCAACTAACGTGGGTACCCTGTGTGAAAAGCTCAAAATGTTTAACGCTTAATTTGGACATGTTCCGCCGAACGGATTTTGGCGGATTTTTAGTATGTTGCTAGACAGGCCACCCTTACTTAAATGGCGTTGAAAACAATTCTGTTGCAATTAGTTTGATGTTGAGCCTCCAAAATGCCTAGATTGACTGGACTACAGCTTTTATGAGGGTCTGAATGGGGGGGTCCACTTGTCGGTTGTCGGTTAAAATTTAGTTACTTTGTCGGTAGTCCGATAAAATTTTCGATCTTTGTCGGTTGTCGGTTAATCTCAGTTAATAAGTAAAAATGCATGTTAATTATTAGGGGTGACACATCTATACCGGCGTGAAACCGTGTGTTGACCTAAAACATTTTGGCCCTAACAAGCATGTTCTTTGCCATGGTTTTCCTTTCTTGAAGGAAATAAGGGGTGCTTCTTTAAAAAATTAGCAAAGTAGCGGTTGGTTTTGTTTGAGATCCACTTTTCCATAAGCTTCTTTTACAGTAAACACTAAGGGCTGGTATTGTGTGGACACGAAAGGCAACATTTCTTTTTCTTCCTTGCTGTTTTGTTTCAGCAGCGCGGACTTCGGTTTCTGTCAGTTTCATTTATTTCTGATTGCAATTTTTCTTTCAAATTGTGTTGGTACCAGGCCATCTTCAACCATCAAGCGTTCTTTTGAATTTTGAAACACTTTCCTCAAACTCTTTTGACAAATCGGTGGGTGATAAGGGGCAAAATGTGTGCTGGAAGGTTTCCGTAGTCTTTACATCAAGGAATACTTTTTTGTTGAATTTTGTGTCTTTGTATACAACTGTGTCTAAAAACATTGTCTCAGTGAATTGCGGTGGTGGATTTAATAGTAGGATGATGTAAGTTTACTTCTTCGAAGAAAGTTACGATGTCTGGTTTAAAGACGGTTAATATTTTTCCTGTCGATAGTCGGTAATTTTTTTCGTGTTTTGTCGGTAGTCGGTAATGATTTTTTGCCCTTTGTCGCTAGTCGGTTAACCCCATTCACACCCTCTTTTATAATAATGCCTACAAAATTTCTTCAACAGCGATGCGATGTTTTTCGTCTAATATACTTCACAGTTGGCGATTGAGGTTTCTTTCGCAATGAGTCTCCGCTTGCGTACCCCTTTCAGAAAAGTCATTCCCGGTTAAACTTTCAGATGAAACCACTTTTAAGATGGACAGTATTTTGATTTGCACTCGTTTGTTGGTATACAAGAATCGCCAAAAGGCGATTTTTAACTGGGCTGCCAAGGGGCTATTTTTTCTCAGGGGAGGGGGCGGCTATACACACTCAGGCTACTATAAAACCGTGTCGCCGACCATTGCGTGAGACAGAATCTCATGTGAGACTGAAACATAAACTCATGCAGAGCATTGTACCCTTTTGAAAAAACAACAAAAAAAGTGAGTACCAT